AGCTATCCGGATACCCGAACCGAAGTTCAGGGAGGAGACCTCGCAACACCTGAGGAACCAACAACAACATGCAGTACTTTACACCAACTTTAGGGGAGTTATCCAGTACTTGACCAGAATCAGAACTACATGGAGGGAATTGTCTTTTTCTGACCTGTTGACATCATTGGTGTGACGGCGCAGCTGCTGCTCGTGCTGCTGGAGTTTCTGGCTGTGCTGGTTGATGGAGTTGCTGTGCTCGCTGCTCTTCTGGTCCAGACGTGACAAGGAGTCCTACAACAGACCAATGGTACATTTAATTATATTGCCTGGTTGAAAAATGGGAAATAAGTCAGATGATACGTTTGTATATCTATGAAGACATTTGAGATTGACCTTGGCTCTGTTGAGGACGTTCTCCAAGTCGTTGCTCTTGCCGACGAACTGAGAGATCATGCTGTTGTACTGGTTGATAATGGTGTCCTGCACGGTGTTCTTCTGCTCCATGTTGTTGAGACTGATCTTGTGCTGGTTCAGTTCAGCTTCTTGGTCGTCATTCTTCCGCTCAATATCCTATGGTATGTGAAGAGGAGATGATGCAAAAATAAAAACAGTTACTCAAGCAACAGTTACTGGATATGATTTTGGAAACGGTCAGAATAGATTACACTGCTATGCTGTCTTTATGAAGTTCTTGTAAATGTGTTAAGCACAAGCTTTATGGGTATTTTATTTCAGTGACCAAAACTCCCATCTTTAGGGAGGGTTTTGTAGTTAAAAACGGATGAATTCAGCACCTGTAGTCTTGTGTTGTGCCTCTGGATGGCAGTGTCCACATCGGAAGACTTTCTCTCCAGCTGCTTCAACTTGGACTTGACCTCGCTTACAGTAGAGGATTGGGACAACAGCTTTTCCTCCAGCTCCTGTGTTTGTAAATCAGATAACAAATTAAAGGAATCAAGTTTCTTTAATTCAAAAGGTCTTCTAATTCATAGTCAGGTAATAGTGATGACATCTCAATTTCTTACTCCCAGCATAGACTGATGATAATGCTATGAAATATGTCCTTACGCTCACCTTAACAAGTCCATTGCTGCCACCACTGATAACAAACGTCTCCTCTGTGTCATCCTTCTTATCTTCTGAGTCGGACAGGCTGTAGCGACGGCTGTTCAGGATAGACAGCTGGCTGTCATACTCATCCAGCTTGTCATCCTGACGACTAACCTGTGATTATGATTGGGTATAAAAGACATAATCGAATCAGGAATCTGCTCCATCATCTTTTAAAAGAAACAATATAACCATGATATTGAACATGTACTTTATGTGATGTAAGTATTGCTTTCTACACTTTTTTGGGAGTTGGTCTTCATCAATGTTGTGCTCATACAATTTACAAAGCCCAGCCCACATTGCCAGGATATGTTTGGTTGCAAAATTACTTTCTAAGCAGGGTATTTGTACATATGCATAAAGCTTTTGCCCCTACCTTAGTTTCCACTTGATCCAATCGGACTTGAAGACGTTCCACCATCTCGTTTTTGTCGCTGATGGTCTGCTGCAGCTGAGAGATGCGACGAGCCATCTCATTGCCTTTCTCTGCCATCTGTTGGATCATCGTCTTGTACTCGTTGACGGCTTCCTCCGACTTGGTCAGCTTCTGCTCCACCGTCTCCATCTTGTCCGCAAACGATCTCTCCAACCTTCGCATTAACATGCCATACCAGATGGACAAAAAAAAGAGAGGGAGAGGAATATAAAGACGTTAATACAGGTTCGTACTGTGATCAGTGCGGGTGGTAATCAACTCGTGGAGTGGAGAAACGATTGAATGTGGGAAGGATCGGCACAAAAGCCAGCAGGTTGGGGATGCTTTTAGGAAAGAAATCAAAATTTCAGGGAAGTTGATGATTGGATAGGTGAGTATCACAATGATGACACATCTGAACATTGGTTAGTTTGTGTGAGTGAGGTTTGGTATATAGTTAATTCATAATCTTAGTTCACTCAATAAAAAATTATACTATTTTGTTAATCAAAATGGTATCAAACAAAAAAACGAAGACACTGAACAGATGTGGCATCTTTGTGAAACTTCCAGCCGACGTCAAGCTGTCTTTTAGTTTTTTTTTCTATTTTTAGATTGAGTTTTAAGGTATTTCAGTGCTGTCAATCGTCATTGAGGTCACCAACCGTTTCTCAACTTCTCATGCAAGTTCCAGGTCTCATATTCCCTGCCTTTCCCACTCCCTATTTCTCATCATCCTACCTTGCAAATTTGCGGTCGAGGAGAATATCTTGCTGGCTTTTCTTGATGTTGAACTGAAGTAGAGCCTGGTCATGCTTCTTGATGGTGTCATCTTGGGCTAGGTTCTTCTTCTCCTGCTCCTGTATCCATCCCCCTTTAACTCCCCGTACGTCAGGTCGACGTCAGCCAACTTGTCCCTAAAACTGAGTCAGGAGCGCATCAGTGGCCTCATCCTTCATCATCAGACCATGGGACATTTCCTCCTGCTCGCTCGTCTTGAACTTCAGGTGGGCGATCTTGGTGTTGTACTGCTGGATCAGCTCTGCCTGCTCGGCGTTCCGCTTCAACAACTCTCGGATCTTCGTATTCTTGCTCTCCAGAATGTCCTTCTGCTCGACATTCTCCCTTTCGTAGACAGCCATAGAAGTGGTGCATCTGTCCAGGAGGGCTGTCTGCTCCTTGTTTTTCTCCATCAGTGAGCTGATTGTCTTGTTGTGAAAGCCAATCTCGACATCCTGCAGTAAAGGCATACATATATGTCAGTTTGCAACTTATGGTGCTCACATAGGCATGTTAGTCACTCGACATTTCCTAGCTTGATATACATATACAGCTTGGTGATGATTGATCTGTAATGAGCCTTTGTTGTGCGGCAACAGGTGGACTGAAATTCAACAAATCCGTTGTTTTCATTTTCTGTTGATGTTGACATCAATCATTGAACAATGACTTAGCGTGTTCCATAGTTTAGTACAAAGAAAGTGGAAGCCCTTTCATCACAACAGACAGACGAAAGCTTGCGTGAGTAGGGTTAGGGAATATCCTGTATTTAGCGTGTTGTTTTACAAAGCGACCACCAAGTTCTCAACCTTTCTTCTATTTCCCATGACCTAGGGATAGCTGAAACTACGACGTACTTTCAAAGGGCATAAAGATTCTGTGGGTCAATCTGGCCGCCATCCTGCCTGACAGCCGTACGGCTTGGTAGCTCTTAAGGGGGCGACGGTCAATTAGGTATAAGTCCGAGGTGTAGATTTATTAGTCTGTGGGGTTACCGAAGGCGGTTCACCGCTTCCACTCGGTTGCTTGGCGCTGAAGCCAGTTGCTTAGCGTTCCCTTCTTGGAATGTCTCTGTTCCTCGATATTTGTTTTCTTAGCGTGTTAGCCTGGCGTGGCACGTATTCTTGTCACAGGATCACGTATCGTGTCCTATCAGGTGAATATTTGACATGATTCAAAGGCATGGTGATCTAATTCGAGAAAAGTTATGAAAACAGCAAATTATGATAACTTCGCTTTTGAAGATAAGCAGAAGCATGTCGCCCCTTGTGGAGAAACATTGTGAGGGACCTTAGCGTCTACTGGTTAGAACTGCGAGTGTAGGCTGTCACATGTGGAGTGAGGCCATCTCACATTTGGTTATAACCACAACGTTGTTGGCTTATGTAACCGATATATGTAGTTGTACCGTAGGGGGTAGTCTTTGTGTCATTCATTACCTGTGATTACACTTTCGCGGTTCCAAACGCATTGCGACACTAAGGACGCCTTTCTTGATACACAATTTACCGTACTGTCAACTGTCGGTGTCGTATTATTTCTCTCACGGCTCTGAATCATATGTTTCTGCATATCGCAATCTGGTCTTCATTTGTGCTAATCAGTGTTTAGGTTGACTTGGAGTCTAGGGTCAGTAATGCAGATGACTGTTGTCAGTGAACTTGGCTACGGTTTCCCGACTGGAATCTTTTGATGGTGTGGGGTTATTGAATCCCGATGCTAAGCGGACAAAAGGTTGCGGAAAAGGCTAAGAGTGTCGGCAGGGTGTGCCCAAAGTTCAACGTGACCGACGCGCTCATAATTGCAATTTCGAACTTTTATTCCTTAGCCTGTCAACAGCGTGACATTTCCTTGCACCCGGCCTGGTCGGGAAGGCCGAAAAACATCCCGTCATTCGGCGGCAGGAGTCTCGTTAACAAAAGTTCGTCTGACTCGGTGAACTTTGGCGGGGCCGGTTGTCTCACCACACCTGGTTTACCATTCCCATTTTATAAGCCTGTCCCATCGCAATGAGGAGCATATGTGCCGACCATATGATAGACGTCTAATCATGGACTCAGTAATGAGGTTTCTAAAAAAAATTCGCCTTGGGCTTTTTCGATCCAAAATCCAATCTCAAACATGGGAACGTGGATGTGTCGCAGGAAAAACAAGATGCACACGATTATGGAGTAGCAAACGGCTTCATTTTTCAACATGAGGAATTTCACTAAATATCATATGGATACTTCTGGGGTTATATACTCAAACACAATTATAGTGACACTGAGACGATTGAGTCAACCTGCGTTTTGTCAGTGATAGCCTAGATGGCTTTCGAAGCCCTGGGGTTTGTTTTGGGAAAAGCCACTGCAATCCAATTGTCTTGAGTCTTCGATAAAGACGGGAAAACTCAGGACATCTGGTTGAACGGAAACTTGTAGGTTTCAGAGGATTTGTGATATCGCCTGCATCTGTAGCCGTGAAGCTGTCGTTGTGTTGGAAACCAGTGAAACACTTCAACTTCCCAATCCTTCCTTCCGTTCCAGCGGCCATGAGATCGGGCAATTGGACTTTTGCCCAAGCCATTAAGCACTGTCGGTGTTTGAAGTTGACATGTGCCCATCATGTTGTCCCATTTTTTTTACCAATTACAGAGTAACTGCCAGTCTCGCCCGCCAATTATAGATATGTCGACCTGGTTCCTAGGTGGGTGGTAGTGTCTGGACATAGGTGATTGTTAGAGTGTAAGCAATCAAGGTCAGCTCCTGTGGTTAGAAAAATGGCCTAGCTGATCTTCCGTTGGGGACCCACAAAAACGTACCCGGACCGGCTTGCTGAGGGGGTATGGTTTGCCCTGTCAGTAAAGGCGTTGTCTCCACAAATGACAGATTGCAAATGCGCAAGGGTCGCACAGAAAAGTCTGAGGCTTTCTGTTGACTATAAAGACAATTTCATAGTTGTCTGGTACGTATCAATTTGTACCTTTGTGACATACTCCGCACATATTCACGGAATCAAATGAGCTGCGAAAAATGTTAACAAAAACTAAATATTTGACAGCATTTGTATAGAGGTCTTATTACCTTCGCCAAGAAGGTTATGTTTTCGTAGGCGTTCGTGTGTCTGTGTGTGTGTGTGTGTGTGTGTGTGTGTGTGTGTCAGCACGATAACTCAAGAAGGCTAGAATGGATTGTCTTGATATTTGGTAGGTGGATAGGTCTTCATGAGACGTGGAACTGATTAAATTTTGGGCCCCCTAGCGGCTTGTTATGGTACTGCAGCTGAACTTCCGGTTTTGATATCTCGTGATCTAGACATGCTAGGGTGACGAAATTTGGATGGTAGGTAGCTCTTGTGCTGGGGAAGAAGTGATGTGAGTTTGGCCTCCCTAGCGGCTTGCTCTGGAACTGCAGGGGCGTTAGTTGAAAAATATTTTAAGGCGGATAACTCTAGAACCGTTTGATGGATCGTCGTGATTTTTGGCATGTAGGTAGCTGAAGTGATGCTTAACATAATAATATTATAATTATGCATATATTAATGTAATTTGCATAATTAATGAGGAAATTCTATAAATCAGCTGCATTCCATGATAGGACTATTCAAGCTTGTGACATATGTAATTAAGAACGGCAGAAATACAGGCAGATATTGATTATGCAAATGAAGACTTAATTTGCATAATTAATGAGAAAATGTTATATTTACATAGTGGTAACTGCCTGGAATTTCATACTTGGGATATTTGAAAGTTATGTGAAGGTGAACATAATTAAACATAACTTATTCAAATAAGGACCTCATTTGCATAATTTATGAGGAAATGCTATAATGGCATTCTTTGATAAGATAAGACTGTCTTCTGGTGTAGAATATGATCAACAGATATAATTGATGCAAATATAGGATCCTATTTGCACAATCAGGGGGATTAACCTATAATTTCTTACTCATAAAGGCTAACATCATTTGGCGAAGGTATGAGATCGTGGAACTCTAGTTAAAAATTCATCTTTGTTTTTTTCTTCTTCTTTGAATGGCACAGCATGGCGATCTATGAGGCGCCATATTTTGTACGACTTTGGACCTATAACAGCTTTCTACGGCACCAGTTCCAGGTTTGCGCAGTAAATCTTGTCAACATAATTGTTGGTTTTTGAGACGGTTGAGTGATTGTCCGTGATAGTCTCTGTTGCGGGTCTGTCTTCCAACATGTTCAGTAACAAAAACCAAACTTTGGCACAAGCAACAAAGTGCCAACGTAGTCGTAATTTTTAGATTACAATAGAACAGGCATTCAGGCAGATTGATATTAATCTACCTGAACGAATTGAACCAGCGAAGACTGCACTTTTGACGATGGTTTTGTGTTGGCAGGCTGTTGCGGTCGGTGCAGTTGTGTAATAGTATCTGTCCCATTGTGTCATTATGGGCAGGTTCTGGTCATAAATAACATGTTTTATGGATCTTTAAACAGGCAAGGAACGGCCAAGGTCAGAAGAAACTTTTTTTGCGTTAAGCCAGCGTTGGGCGGCATGTTTTCTCCCACAGTGGTTTTCTCAGAAGATATTGCTGTATTTTTTAATGGTGACGAGAACAACTTTGCTGTTCGTGGATAAAAGACTAAATGTAGAGTGTTTATTCGACTTTGATTCTTCGACAAAATGCTTCATTGTTTTAAACTTTTGCCTGTTCTATCTCCTTCATAATTATGCCAGACAGTCGTTCTACAGACGGAGCTACCGGACAGACGGCGTCCCGCATACTAGAACTGTGTCGTTAAATGGTCCATAAAACTCCATTTCCATTCTGATCACGTTAGTTACATAAAAACGATGACGACTTGTTCATTGTTGTTAATATCAGAAAAACCTGAAGGTCATAATCATTTTGGATTAAAAGATTAATCTAAACGCCTTTACTCGGGCTTACCCGGTAATACTAGTAGTTTCATAACTTCCGAGGAACACCGCGAAATGTGTCGTCTGAGAAGTGGTCTGTAGAGTATATTCAGAAGTAAAAAGCTAATTTTACGTAACATGTGGTACCAAAACGGGTTAATATGGTCATAAGTTTAAACTTTTATGTGTCTTAAGATCTGCGTTTACGTGGGGCACATGGTCGCTTGTGCAGGACTGACCAGGAAGGAAAACCCGCTAACGTTCGCATCCTGGGAATGACATTT